CATTGTGTACACTGGTGCTGTGTTGCACACGGCCGATGTGGTGTACACAAGCGCTGTTGTATGCACAAAACCTGTTGTGCCTGCAGCACGGTGGCACAAACTGACGCTGTGTTGCACGCGGCTGCTGTGGTGTCCATAGGCGGTGTGGTGTACACAGGCGCTGTGGTACACGAAGGCATTGTGGTGTACACAAGCGTTATGGTGCAAATCGCCACCTACATGCTGGCGCTACCCGTCCTCCGTCATTCCTAAGCATTCCCAAACGCCGCCGGCGCGAATCGTGACGTCATCGACCCCCTCCACCCCCCCGAAATGATTGCCGCCATCGGCCCGGAATCAAAAAAAAGGCTTCAATCGCGTCCGCGCCCACGACAATTATGAGCGACGAGCGACAAGCCATTAACAACGACGACGACGACGACGACGACGACGACGACGACGACGACGACGACGACGACTGCGGACGAGACTCTTATGCGGATTCCTGCGCGGACGCCTCCGCGGATCCCCAAGGCGCACGGGGCGGCAGTTCCCGGAGCGCACGGGGGGGGGTGATCGTGACGTCATACGGGGAAGGGCCCTGGGACAGACAAATAAATACACACAAATAAAAGGATCCCCCATATTCTCCCATATTTTCTGGGTTTCTGTCTTCCCCCCCACTGCCCATATTTTCCCATATTTCCTGGGAAATCGACGATTAATTGTGTCTGTGTGTTTCTTTTCCTCCTAACTGACGCCCGCCATGCCCCAAGCAAAACAGGATCCAACCAGCGCCTGCCCTCCCGGCGCGGACAATGCGCGGGGAAGTTTTCTTTCGAGGCCAAAACACGGAATGTCCTCTGCCAGCGGAATCTAACGGCCCCCAGACGGACCACTTGAACCCCGAGGCCACTGCCGACGCCAAAGCGCGACGGGCCGTCGCCGGGCTTCCGCGCATCGGACGACTCCCCGAAAGCACCCAAGCCAGAGCTCGATCAGTTAGATCCCTCGCCGCCAGCACGCGCACCACTGGCGCCGACACCCTAGCGCCCAGCTGGAGAGGAGAAACGTTTGCAACAACACGGCGCTGGCCGCCATTAGGCCCACCAGAAAATCCTGGATTTCGCATGAAGCCCCCCGCGAGTCGACGCTCTCGTTGTTCGTGGGCGCGCCATCGAACATAGCGCCGTCACTTGAAGATGCGCAACGAGACTCCAGCTTCAACGCCAAAGCCGAAGAGCTTCGCGATCTTGCGCAATCCTTCTAAGGAGGAGGCCCCGCGAGTAGGAGTTTGGGAAACCATCGCACAACTCGGATGGAGTTGGCCAGCGTGTGGCACGATGTCCAATGCTCGGAGCACTCGCGTACCACGGCTCAACCTGCTACCGAGGTTCTTCACAAGCACGCTTCGCGCGTCACAAATATGGCCACTCCTGCGGCACATTCCTATCACAGGACACGAAAGAGCGCCGTCGTTGCGGCCAAGCCGGGTCTTTACTGGTTTGCCGCACGTGGCTTATCATAACAAAAGGCAAAGCCAAATCCACCACTTGGCAACTCGGCCTCGTCTGCAACTACCTGCGCGGGGGTGATCGCTCCATCTTCGCCGCGCAGATGGTACAACCACGAAGAATACCATCCTGAGGGCACCGTATGGACATGCCCGCGATGGAATCCAAGAGGACCACTCTGAAAACGATGGTCACCAAACAGCAATGGAGAGACCTGCCGCCGCACACAAGGCACTGTGGCCTTCCCGAAGAAGACCCCCAGCCCCTTGATCTCCAAGCTGCCATCGCAGAGGATGCACTCCCACAGCCCATCCCGCGGCCGTCACCAGAGGCCCCAAGGATGAATCCTACGAGGAGTACAATGACGACGCCAAGGCCCGATGGGCACATGCAGCCACAGACACGGCTGCTTGCACCAGGCCCACCTGCTCCTCGCCAGGGCTGGTTTCGGAGTTTAGTACGGCCATAGTCAGCAGCTAAACACTTCAGCTCGCGTGCACGAGCTGATTCCGTCCGCTCCGCGGGCTGAGACTCGCTATTACCCAACTGCTCGCCACTGCTGAAAAATCCGCTCCCATGTTCGTCGACTATGCAGCTGGTGTACACGGATCCGAGAACCTCCTCAGCGGTAAACCACAACAACGCGCTGGTGCCCAGACCGACCTCCGGCGAAAGAGCCACCGTGTCCTCCAAGCCAAAAACGGACATGTTCATAGACCACAAGGTACGAAACCACCTGGGTGAACAAGGCGTCAGCGAGGTACGCATCACTTCGATCGCGACGGCGTTCAACCTTCAGCGTTGATGACCTTGCCACGGCCGGCGCGCGCATGCGCAGCGCACCACAGAAGCCTCGCCGACGCGGCCGAATGGCGACATCAACAAGTCGCGGCCGTCCTCCACAGCACAGCGATCGCCGATTGCGACCGGCGTCGCCAGATTCTTCCCCTAGCAGGCCGAAGAGCGGGTGACCCAAAGGATGAACTCGGCAAGGAGAGGCCCAACCCTCTCACCACTGGCCAAAGCGGCCAGGAGCCACCAAGCTCACCACGCGACCCCATTCATCCCGACGGCCATCCAGGGCCTGAAGCCTTTGATCACCTCGGTGAGACCGACCTGCCCGACGACTTTGACGGCGAGGTGCAAGACCCGCTCGGGCTGGGCGCCTCCCTGAACGACGAACTGGAACTGGAACTGGAGCGGCGTGCGCAGTGTCGCGCCGTGTGCGGGCTGCCGCGGGACTTCTCGCATTATCGCACGCGCCTTCTCGCATTCTTGAACCCGCCCTCTCGCCTTCTCGCAGTTCCGCAAGCACCTAGACGGAGACAGCAATTACCCCCCTCCTCCCAAGGTCACGACAGAGACGACCACAGCGACCACGACGATCACCACGACGCGTGCCAACCAAGACTCTCCAACCGGCAGGTGCAAGCCGCCCACGGTCAACAGGATCACTCCGCCACTATCCATCCCCTTCACTAGCAGGCCACCTCCCCCTCCAACCAGGGCACGGGGAGCAGCGAGCTGCCAGCGACCAACGACGGTACAACGCCTGGTTTGCATTGATTGTTTTCCTTGTCCTCTTCTTCCTCCCTTCCCTCTCATATTTCTCCTTCTCCTCCCTTTTTCTAATCCTGGTCTGTCCTGGCACGTCACAGACTGTTGGAGTTGGCCCCGAAGTTCTTGGAGTTGTGCCGAGTTGGTTCCCAGAATCGTTGTCATCATTCCCGACACCTATCTTCTCTCCGAGCCATCCCACTCCACTTCTCCACCACGCGCACACACACACACACACACACACACACACACGCATAGCCACCTTCCGCATAACCCTCCCCCTCCTCTTCCTCCTCCTCCTCCTCCTCCTCTTCCTCCTCATCCTCCTCATCGTCGTCATCGTCGCCATCATCATCATCATCATCATCATCATCATCATCATCATCATCATCATCATCATCATCATCATCATCATCATCATCATCACCATCATCACCATCATCACCATCATCATCATCATCACCATCATCAGCATCATCATCAGCATCATCATCAGCAGCATCATCATCAGCAGCATCAGCATCAGCATCAGCATCAGCATCATCATCATCATCATCATCATAATCATCGTCATGACCGTCATCATGATCATCATCATCATCATCATCATCATCATCATCATCATCACCATCACCATCAGCATCATAAGCATCATCATCAGAATAATCCTCATCATCATCACAATCATCATCATCATCATCATCACCATCATCATCATCACGACCATCATCATCAGCAGCAGCAGAAGCATCGTCAACATCATCATCAGCATCAGCAGCAGCAGCATCAGCATCATCCTCATCATCATCATCGTCATCATCATTCATAATCCTCATCCTCATCATCATCATCATCATCATCAGCATGATCATGAGCACTAGCAGCAGCAGCAGCAGCAGCAGCAGCATCATCATCATCATCATCATCATCATCATCATCATCATCATCATCATCATCATCATCATCATCCCCCTACTCCTTCTCTGGCCTCTCCTCCGCCTCACTTCCTTCCCCTCCCCCTCCACCCACCAACCCACCCACCCACCCCGAAGAAACCACTCACCCGCTCACCTTCCCCCCCTCCTCCTCATCCTCCCTCTCATCTCGACTCGGCGTGGCATGACGCGACGCGACCTAGCACGGCTTAGAAAAAGGTGGCACGGTTTGACATGCCGTGGTTTGACCTGCCGTGGTTGCAGCACCCAGCAAGGCTTGAGGGGTTGCCATGGGTGTCCCTGGCCCAGGGTGCCCCGGCTCTTCGCTGCACTTCGGAGCCCCATGGGGCCCCTGTGGGCCTCGTGAGAGGCTCTCTGGGTGCCATAAAGAGCCTCCCTGAATATCCTGGGGGCATCTTGCTTGGACGCCCGAAATGGGTACGGAAAGAATGGGTACAATGCCCAACAACAAATGTTGTCCCAAACCAACAGCGGCCGCTGTTGGGCAGCCGGCCTTCTGTCTCGAGTGGACACAGGCCGCGGCGGCGCGGACAGCGAGTCCTGTCCAAAATGAACAGGAACTGCTGTTGGGCACTGTTCCCATTCTTTCCGTGCCCATCTCGTTCGTGCAGACCTTGGGCCAGGGGCACCTCCAGCAACACCCGGCCAGGCCAGGGCGCCGAAAGCTCGGCAGGGCCGCGCCACGGCCCCCTCCGGGGCGGCGTCGGCCCGCGGGGGTGGCGGAGGCGAGCGCGCCCCCCGGGGCTCGACACTGAGGAGCAGCAGCACGGAGGAGGCGCGGCAGCACGGAGGAGCCGGGCGGGTGGCGCAGGAGGGGAGGCGGATGACGGCAGGCGGGCCGCGCTGGGCGGGGAGCACGGAAGGGGAGGGGGGGGAGGGGGAGGGAGCAGGACGAGGAGCGCTGGGAGCGGGGCCGGGATGCGGAGGGGAGGGCGGGGGAGGAGGAGGAGGAATCGCACGGCTCCTGTGACGGACGTGTTGTTGTCACCCAGGCTCCTGCGGCAGCTTCTCCAGGGAGAGGTGGGGCGAGACCCTGGCGGCCTGCCGCGCCAGCGCCGCGGGGACGCCCCCGACGAGATCCTGGCGCACACGTCTTGGGGAGAAGGGGGAGCAAGGGAGGGGAAGAGGAGAAGGAGGAGAAGGACCAGTGTAAACCTAAGACGCACCAAAGAGGTTGGAATACACCTTCGCTCCAAGTTCCCTCCTCATGGACCCTTACGAGGGTTCATTTCCACTGAAAGAATTGCCCTGTTGGCGGACAACCGTACAAAAAGCCGGAAGCGTGTCAAACCACCACTTTCAGAATTTCCACGCCACGAATCAACCTGATTGTAAGGTCTTGGCGTTCCTGAATCCTGCAGGACCACCATTCCTGGGACTTCAACACCGCGAATCTACATAATTGTTACGCGCTGACATTAATGAACAGGTCGAAAGCACAATTTCTGGTACATTGACTACAAAAATACATGAAACGATTGCGAACTTTGGAAACGAGTGTGCGCGGCGCTGGGAGAAAACCACATTTTGAAAACCGCCCACCCTCAATCCGTGAAACTCATCTACAAATTGTAAACGAATGTGCGCGGCGCCTACAACGAATGTGAGAAGGGAAAAAACACATGTTGAAAAACGCCAACCGTACATCCGTGGAGCACTTTCAAAGAGTAAAAACGAACGCACGCGGCGCTGAGGCGAGAGCCACATGTTGAAAACGAACCGCCCTCAATCCGTGAAACCCTTGCAAAGATTCGAAACGAACGTGAGCGGCGCTGAGGCGAGGGCACATTTTGAAAACCACCCGTCCTCAATCCGCGAAGCTCTTGCAAGCTGTTACAACGAACGCACGCGGCGCTAGGGCGAGAACCACATTTTGAAAACCGCCCGCCCTCAATCCGTGACGCCCTTGCAAACTGTTAAAACGAATGCGCGCGACACTAAGGCGAAAGCCACAAGTTGAAAATGAACCGCCCTCAACCTGTGAAACTTTTTCGCAAGCTAAAACGAATGTGCGCGGCGCCTAATGCGAGAGCCACATTTTGAAAACCACCCGCCCTCAATCCCTGAAACGACTCCACAAGTTTAAAACGAATGCGCGCGGCGCTAAAGCGAGAGCCACATGTTGAAAACCATCCGCCCTAAATCCGTAAAGCTCCCGCAAACTGTAAAACAAACGTGCACGGCGCGAATGCGAGAACTACATGTTGAAAACCGCCCGCCCTCAAACCGGTGAAGCTTTTGTAAATTGTTACAACGAATGTGCGCGGCACGAAGGCCATGTTGAAAGCCGCCATCCGTAAACTTGTGGCCCTCTTGCAATTTTTAAGAACGAATGCGCGCGACGCTCAAGCGAGAACAACATTTTGAAAACCACCCGCACTCAATCCGTGAAACCCTGGCAAACTTTTGAAACGAACATGCGCGGCGCTGAAGCGAGGGCCACATGTTGAAAATCATCCGCCCTCAATCCGTGAAAGTTTTGCAAGCTGTAAAACAAACGCACGCGGCGCTGAGGCGAGAACCACATTTTGAAAACCACCCGCCCTCAACCCGTGAACCTCTTGCAAGCTGTTTCAACGAATGCGCGCAGCACTCAGGCGAGCGCCACAAATTGACAACCGCCCGCCCTCAAACCATGAAACGCCTGCACGGCGTAAGGAATGTGCGCGGCGCTACGGCGACAGCCACATGTTCAAAACCATCCACCCTCAATCCGCGAAGCTCCTGCACAGTTTCAAAACGAATGCACGCGGCGTTGGGGCGAGAACCAAAGTTGAAAACCACCCGCCCTAGAGCCGTTGAACTCGTGCAAACTGTTAAAACGAATGCGCGCGGCGCTTAGGCGACCGCCACATGTTGAAAACCACCCGCCCTCAATCCTTTGGGAAGCTTTTGAAACGAACGTGCGCGGCGCTGAGGCGAAAGCCGCATGTTTGAAACAAACCACGGTCAATCCGTGACGCTCTTGCGAGATGGTAAGACGAATGTGCGCGGCGCTGAAGCGGCAGCCACATGTTGACAACCACGCGCCCTCGATCCGTCAAACCCCTGCACAATGTTAAAACCAATGCGCGCGGCGCTAAAGCGAGAGCCACATTTTGAAAACAGCACGCCCTCAGTCCGTGAACCTCTTGCAAACTGCTTCACCGATTGCGCGCGGCACTCAAGCAAGCGCCACAAATTGACAACCGCCCGCCCTCAAACCGTGAAACGCTTGCACGGTTTAAGGAATGCACGGTTTAAGGAATGCTCGCGGCGCTACGGCGACAGCCACACGTTCAAAACCAACCACCCTCAATCCGCAAAGCTCCTGCAATTTAATGCGGCGCTAGCGCGAGGGCCACGGTCTGAAAACCACCCGCCCTAGAGCCGTTAAACTCTGGCAAACTGTTGCAAAAACTGCGCGCGGCACTTAGGCGACCGCCACATTTTGAAAACCGCCCGCCCTCAATCCATGAAGCTGGCGAACGTTTGAAAAGAACGTGCTCGGCGCTGAGGCGAAAACCACATTTCGAAAACCAACCACGGTCAATCCGTGAAGCTCTTGCTAGATGTTAAAACGAATGTGCGCGGCGCTAAAGCGCCGATTGCATGTTGACAACCACGCGCCCTCGACCCGTCAAACCCCTGCACGCTTTTAAAAAGAATGCGCGCGAGGTTAAGGCGAAGGCCATATTTTGAAAACCGCACGCCCTCAACCCGTACAGATCTTGCAAATTGCTAGAACGAATGCGCGCGGCACTAATGCGAGAACCACACGTTGAAAACCGCCCGCCCTCAATCCGTGAAACTCTTGCACACTTTTAAGACGAATGCGCACGGCGATGCGGCGAGAGCCACATGTTGAAAACCACCCGCCAACAGTCCATGAAACTCTTGCACCCTGGTACAACGAATGTTCGCAGCGCTGAAGCCAAAGCCTCAGGTTGGAAACCGCCCGCCCTCACTCCGTGAACATATTGCAACCTTACCAGACGACTGCACGCAGTGCTAAGGCGAGAACCACATGTTCAAAAAACCGCCCGCCTTCAATCCGTGAAACTCTTGCAAGCTTGTTAGACGAGTGCACGCGGCGCTGACGCGAGAGCCACATGTTGGAAACCACCCGCCCTCCGCCTGGAAACTGTTGTCGAGTTCAAAGCCTCAGCGTGATCAGTGGTGAAGACGTTCGAAGCGAACGCCAAGATGAGGAGGAGGAGGAGGAGGAGGAGGAGGAGGAGGAGGAGGAGGGGAGGAGAGGAGGAGGATGATGGAGGAGGCGGAGGAGAACGAGCGAGGAGGAACGAGAGCCCGCGCTCATTATTGGAGGCAAAGGCCCGCAGCTCGAAGCTCGAAGAAGGAGTGAGGAAGGAGGAGAGGAGGGGGAGGAGGGGGGTAGAGAGGAGGGGGGGGGGGAGGAGGGGGGAGTTGAGGCGGATAGAGAGGAGGCGGAGAGAACGAGCGAGGAGAAAGAGGAGAAGGAGGAGGGAGGCAAAGGCCCGCAGCTCGAAGCTCGAAGAAGGAGGGAGGAGGAGGGGGGAGGAGAGGGGGAGGAGGGGGAGGAGGTGGAGGAGGAGGAGGAGAGGATGAAGGATGAAGATGGGAGGAGGAGGGGAGGAGTGAGGATGAGGAGGAGGAGGGAGAACGAGCGAGGAGGAACGACGGCCGCGCTCATTATTGAAGACAAAGGTCCGCAGCTCGAGCCGAAGAAGGAAGGAGGAGGAGGAGGAGGAGGAGGGAGGGGGGGGGGTGAGGAGGAGGGGAGAGAGGTAGCGGGAGGAGGAGGAGGAGGAGGGGAGGAGGAGGGAGGAGGAGGAGGAGGAGGCGGGGGAAGGGGGACGGGGGGGAGAGGAGGAGGGGAGGAAAGGAGTGGAGTGGGAGAGGGATGAGGGAAGAGAAGTAGCAGCGGCCAGAGAAGAGGAGAGGAGGCTGGACGGCAAGACGGAGAAGAGGAGGAGGACAAGGCTAAGGCCCAATATGTGCCCAGGAGCCGACAGCTGGCCTTCACAAGACGGCCCAGGATGGTTTCAAGACGGCCCAAGACCTCTCGAAGGCAACCGTAAGACCTCTCCAAGATCGAGGATCCACCCCAGTGTGTTAAGGAAATCCTTTACCCCACGAGGGTCTCGAGTCCAGTCGACAACCAAGCACTCGCTCGCAAGTTGTGCAACTTCGAGATTGCCCAAGCCGCGTTTGCGATGGTGAAAGCCAAGCTTTCCGAAAGAACTTTCTCTCGCTCTAGCAGGTGGATTTGTTGATCGACAAACGACGGAATCGATTTTGATATGGTCATATCGTCGGTAAGCGTGCCCGCGTGCGGCGTTGGTTCATAGAAACACGTTGCGCAAGGTTGTTGAAACGGTCGAGACCTTGTTCGGCGACTGCGAACACCTCATCCGCAGACGCCGCAGGCTGCAACTGTTTGGTTACCTGCGTTTGGCGGAAGTTACGCGGATGCGTGGGGAAAGCGTATGTTAGGGCCCTTTTTCCTCCAGCGCAGCTCGAACAAAAGGGCCTGCGGGCACGCTACGAATTGATGGCGTTTGACTCACTCAAGATCCCGAGCACGCCGCCTGGCCGAGCGGGGGCGGGCGGCGAGCCCGCTTCTTCTCGGACACCACTCCCTCCAGGGCCCTAGAAAAGTGAAACTTAAAACCCGCGGCGCCTCGACGCGTAGTCGCGGAGGTCTAGACCCGCGCCCATGGCGCATCTAAACAGCACACGGCTCAAGGCCCCACTCGGACTACACCCCCTGTTCTCTCGGCCCCAACGGCTGGAAACGGGGGCTGGTCGTCCACCAAGTATACTTGACCTGGCTCTGGGTGGCAACCGTCCTTCTGCGGTCGCCCTTCCTAGTCTTGAGCTTCACTGCTGGCTCGCTCGGCCCCTCGATCGGGGCACGCTGTGGCCCCCCGCCGTTGCCAGCGCGCGGCAAGGCACCCGCGAGGCACCAACTCGGCCTTGCACACGGGAAGGAAAGAAAAAAAGAGAAGCCCCAAAAAAATGATATCCTAGCAAAGCAAGCAGGGGCCCGAGGCCCACGCCTGCCATCAGAACAGTCAGGCCAACGCAGCGGCCCTCAGTCGTGACCTATGGCATGG